TCAACAGTACAATGCTCAATGGTGATATGAGGCTTTTGTGCAGCGCCACGATGCCAGGAAGAACAACAATGGTGCAGTCCTCTCCCTGGAGAGCAGCAGACCTTGCTGGTGACAGCCACCTCAGGCTCTGCTCAGGCTCAGTCCCTCTTGCTGGGGGAGGATGTGCCATCCCCAGAGGCTTTAGCTGGACAAAGTTCTGGCTGGCCAGACCCAGCACTGGCCGTGGGCCCACAGCGAGTGGGAGGTCAGGCTGCGCATCTCCAGAGGACCCTTCCAAGTGGCATTTCTATCGTACTATTGTTTATTCACCCCTGGCCCCACCCAAAGCAAATGCAGCTGTACCACCAGCCTTACCCACTGCTGTTTCCGTCACTCCCTGTTCGGTTTGGGTATCTGCAGCCTCCCTGGTTTCCACCCAACTGAGTTCCTCCTTTCAAAAAACCTCCTTTTGTTGGAGTTTCATCATAACATCAGGTTAAATGACACTCTACACAGATGCTTTCAAAGCCGTGTACTTTCAATTAGTCCTGAATTTTGACCTTTGTTAGATTTCATGTCTAGAAAACCAAACGAAACCAAACCACCTCTTAACAATCCCCCAACGTTGAGCTAAAACCAAACACTATAAAGACCTGGGGAGGCATATACATAATCATTGGACAACTGAGCCTTTTGTGCTAATGAACGTTTGCCCTTGTGATAAGGATGCAGTAGCAAAGTTAGACACGTAAAAAGTGAATGTGTGTTTCTTTCTTTTCTTTTTGATGGTTGTATTATTCAGCACAATCAAGCATCTTTATAGTGAAATTAACTACTCTGAAACTGCCATCAGACCAAAGCCACAGGCAGTTATTAAACTGAGTTTACTGTTGCTAAGAAGGCCAAGAATGACCAATGCTATGGCAAGCAATTATCAGAAAGACACAGTAACTCATCAGACCATGAGGCTACAACGAGAGGCTGAGATACTGCCCTTGGGAATGGTGATTTCATTTTCAGACACTGCATTACCAAAGAGACCTGCTACATTACTGAGTGACCTGCAGATCCTTCTCTTTTCTAGCCCAGTTTCCCCTCTGGCCATGGAAAGCGATCGGTGCTCCTTTTGCAAAGGACCAGAGTTGTGCAGCCAAAAGAAAAGACAAAACCCCACCCGTAGCTATCCAGCAGCGTACAAGTAGGAGAGAAAAAAGCACTATTACTTATGACAAGTGTATTTGTGGGACAGTTGATGCAGCCTTCAGAAGCACAGTCAGGAGTTTAGGGGGAAAACTTACCATCTGTGGTGAGTACTTCATGGCACATGGTGAGCCCCTTTGTGGCACTTGGCTGGGCAAACCAGCAGTATCGTAGTGAGGTGTTGCTCCGCTCTCCTCTCGAGCAGCCCAGGGATGGAGCCAGGCAGCAATGCAGCCTCTTTCTTCCCCGTACAGAATGACCCAAAGCTGCAGGTCTGGCTCACTACACGACACGTGCAGGCTCCCTCTGGCTCAGCAGGACACTCTGAGGAGAGCGCTGTCTGCTGTGTGCTCCCAAAAAGTGTAAGAAAGACAAATGAGGTGCTGATGTAAATGTTCTCCTCAACACACACATCCCCATGGGGCAGCCAACACACGCTGCCGCACGGCTGGACCATCTTTAAAGTCTGCTTCCTGGCTGCCACTCGTGATCTAACATGATGTCAGCTATGTCCCCTCACCCACATGTACCCCTCGTGCACCCCTCGTGCATTCAATTCCACCTTTTCTTAAAGCAGCCAAGGGAGCCAAGTGCCTGGAGCTCTCCTGGGTCATGGGGATCCCAGGACCAAGATCAAGAGATGAGGTGTGCTTCACACCCTGCTATTTTTTGAGCCCCACTAAAGTTTTAAGAAATACTTGAGATCACACAAGGTCAGCTTAATGAAGCCTCATTTTCTTCACATATCTGAAAGTCAACAGGCACAGGTATTTTTCATCTTGTGGAACTGAAGTAAAAGCACCTTCCAAAAACCATGAGAGCTGACAAGTCAGGGCCTCAGTCAGTCCGTTGGAATTTAAATTGTCCATGTCACCAGGCTCCAGTTTCTTCTGCAGGGCTTGGAGCTACTGCTGCATATGTGCAGAAGGTGACCACAGCTTTACAGACCAGATCCTCAGTTTATTTTGGTAAGAATGAGGCCAGGACTCCGTTTGTACCAAGTGCCGCTCACTGCTCCTTCACTGCTCAGAACAAAAACCAGAGGAAGGCACAATTTCCATGTTCTTGCTGCAGATTTCCTTGCCAGGGAAAACATTTTTACACTTGTTTTTGGTGTGTTCTGACGGTTGCTATTTCTACATTATCTATTCCTAAGACTATTTCCTGTGGGAAAGATTTAATATTTTTAATTCCAGTAATAATTTTAGTAACAGTTGCCATTTTCTGCCAATGTTTCTGCAAATTATATGTTCTAAATTCCTCTTCATTACAGTTTCTCTAGGAAAGCTTTTAAGGCAGTTATTTCATACCTCAAAAGCTACAGGGAGAACAGAATTTTCTTACATTTATGAGACTGATTTTCCATCAAGTTCCAGGCTATCGCCTGCTTCCTGTAGTTAACCTCATTCTTACATTTCCATTTAAAAGTCAAATGCTTCTCTTCCTCATTTAGTTTTCATGGTATTCAAGCTACGTACCTGGTCATAACTTCTACTGCTAGTTCTTTTGCATCCAACTAGGAGTAACTGGCTTGTCAAGAATTGTTGCTGCTTCTTGGCCAATCCGGCCACGCTGAAGAACACAGGTACGAGGGGCTGCAGAGGCCCCTTCTCCTCCTGTGCCACCGGCACCCCTGCATTATATGGTTTCCTTTCTGGGAACAGCAATTACTGACATTTTTTCAGGCAATTGTTTGGACTTTTTTACACCCAGTGAAGTGGTGTAACTGCGCGTACGTGTCCTTGCTGAAACCCAAGAATGAAATGCCTGTCCCGCCGAGATCAGCAGCAAGTTCAGCATTGAATTAGTAAAGTTAGGATTACATCTCAAATGGCACCCATGGCCTTCACCAACACCACTACTTCAGAATTAATTAATAAACTCCTTACTTTCAGTCAGGAATAAATACACTGAAGAGGTGGCGGTTTTTTGGGGGGTTTTTTTTTGGTTGGTTGTTTTTATAAAGAGGGTTTTTTTAAACAAACATTGAATTGATATAACTTCTTAAAAGAATGTATCACATGCTTTTTGCAGGAAATTCAGCAGAACCAAGAACACTTGGAGCCAGTCCAAATATATGCCATATTGTTTACTTGTCCAAATGTCATTAAAATTTACTCCAAGTTTCTGTTTACCCCTGAAATGTCTAAGGAAGATGTGAGCCTTCTAAAGACGGCACCCTTATAAGCTGGAAAAGATTTGCTTTCCAAATGAGTTATTTAAGTGAAATGGGAGTTGGCTTCTGTTCCCTGCAGCCTAGATTTTAAATCAGTAATATATCCATTGTGGAAGCACCCGTTTCCTTCTGGGCTAGTTTCTCTCGTTTTGCTTAGTTGCAAAGACTCTGTGTTTGCAGATGAATTATTTATGTTTCAGAAATAGGTCAGAGGCAACAGCCAGAGGGGGCAAGCACGGTGGCTGTGGTTGCCCTGGCAGAGCCACCGCTGCAGAGAAAGTGACCTACGTTGAATTTTATGCCACCTACTGATGTGGTCACACCAAAGCAAGTTCTACCTGGGAATCCTGCCCCTTATTCTCAAGGGCCATGAGGACAGAAGAAATTGTCTCAAGGTACACAGAGATCCCACATCCAAGGCTGCAAGGGAGGTGAGATTTGGATCTCACGTTTATAACCCAAACCCATCACTAACATCACAAAACCAACCTATTAAAAACTCTGCCTTAAAATAGGTAGAAATTATCCTTCTCAAGAACACACAACACATTTTAGATTTTGATTCAGATTTTTAATAAATTGTGCCAGTAGAAGCTTTCAAAGGCAATGATATATCAATAAATAACAGTTAAATTGAGTTCCTGAGAAAGAACCTACCACATGAAAGAATGTCAGATAGATGTAAATAACAAAAAATGGCATTACTATATAAAAAAGCAGTAATACTGAATCTTACATGAACTGTCACAACACAAGCACTGCATACCTCGGAACATTTCTTTCATACAAATGTAAACAAATACACAATCATTTTTGTTTAGTTTAGGCTGATGAATTTATATGTTGTTGCTTAGATATCTAAACAATGGATAGGATAGGATATGCTAAAACATTAAGGAATAATATGTGGAATAATATATGGAAAAAATAATGAAGCTCCAGATTTAAAAATAAAATAAAGCAAAAACACATTAAAGGAGTGTTTTCCTCAAATGTTATTATGTCAATCACTTTAAATAGGACTGTTACACTAATCTGAATTAAGGATTTTTGCATGTGTTTACTTATTTAGTTATATATAATATATATATGCAAATACGTATGGCTTAATTATCTTTAGTATTCTGATATCACCTTGAATAATTCTCACTTATACATATAAGAAAAATGTATGTTTTAACATAGTTAAGAACTGATATTTCAAAGTATGCCTATAATTTGACAGAAATGCAGGACTATTGTGCTCCATCACAGCAACATTTTTACCTACACACGACAGGACAGAATGACCTATGAACAATGGCAACATTTTCAGTTGTCAGTGCCTAAAACATCAGGATTCGAAACAGATACGCAGCCAGTCACGTGCAGGGATCTGATGTCTGGGAAAGCCACGTACCTTCAGGTTCCGCAGATGTCCGTGGAGCTGCACGCGCCCAACATCAGCCTCATGGCACCTGGATCTCGGTGTGTTACAGGAGCACAGCGACAGACGTTCTGCGTCCGGGACATGGAGCTACCCCTGTCAGTACTGGTGCTCTGCGTTACTGCTGGTATTAACAACGGGCACTGCGCTGCTTGCTACGTGAATAAGCCCGGTCTAGAGGGCTGCCACAAATCAGCTCTGTAATTTGCCATCGATCCTTTGTGGGGAAACGTGTGTGCCAATGATACGTGTTTACTACAATGACCTGTTACATCAGACCACAAAAACGCTATTCAGTTATCACCTTTGCAATCTGTGTTACAAAATTAATATTGGATACAATCATAAGAGGAAACCACCCACACAATACATTATCAACACACGCTTTAAAATAGTCTAATTTTAGACCCTTAGTAAAAATGGATCCACAGGACCTGCCTGTGAATGGCAAGAAAAGGCCATTTCAAATAGAAAAACACTGCTCATGCAACATTCTTCACACACTAGACAATGAAATCACACCCAAATTGTCACTTGCTCACACTTTCTATTACACTCCAATAAGCAGAAGGAAATAAAGCAGCTTTAAGGTTATGTCACAATTTTGAAATGTGGAAAATACATATAATAAACAAAAATCACGGTGTGAATACAATGGCATCAGTAAATTTAGAAAATTAGAGAGCAGTTTTCTTTTTTTTTTTCATTTTTCCTTTTTTTTTCTTTCTTACATTATTGCACAGAGACCTTTCATCACATGTTCTTCAGCTTTATGCATCTTCCTAAATGTGAAATAAGTGCTATGGATAAAATAAAAATGTAGAAAAGAAGAACAGCAGCATGATTTGTCAAAGTTAATCCCTATAATTTAGTAGGAAAAAAAACCCCTGCTATAAACAAAATATAAGTGCTCTTTATTCATTTAAAAAATAACGCTGACAGTTGCAGAAGTCTGTAAATGTTAATCTGAGTAGGGGGATGCTGACCTCAAATAAAAACAGGCCTAGAAATGACAGACTTCTGGCCTTGCAGGTTTTGGTGAAGACCAGGATTTCAAGTGTAATTATCACCAAAGTTATTTACAGTAAAACTGACCTGAACTTTCAAGAGTGCCATTTTTAGGACCCGGCCCTGCAAGCTTCTGACTCCCCAGGATGACTCCAGCCTCAGCTGAAGTTACACCTGAACAAGTACTGCAGGATCAGCTCCTAAAGGATCAGTTAAAGGCCCTACTGGATTGGAGATTAGTCTTATCTGGAATTCTCTATACAATAATTTACACATATACAGGCTGACAGGCTCCAGTCTGATCCACCACACCTTTGTCTTCTACATCAGATTTCTCAGACTGGCCAACTTCCATTCCAGAAGGTTTGGGATACCTGAAGGGATACCCATTGTCATCGAAGAACCTTCGGAAAGTGAACTCGTAAAAAGCATGTTCTGTGTGTTTGCTATTGGAAGAGGCCAGTGGATCCCATGTCCTGGTGCTGTCACCACTAGCATTGTTCCAAGGACTTTCCTCTTCAACTGGATCAAAATTGGAAGTGTCCATTGGGTGGCTGATCTTTGGAACATAAGGAGCTGGTTGCCTACGGATATCGGTAGAGAAGTCCATGGAGTGAAAGAAAGAATGAGCCTTAATATCATCTGCTCCATTTCTTCCAAGCCTGTCCTCAGCAGCACAGCAGAGCTTTGTGATGAGATCAGTTGCCTCAGGGCTTAGCTTGATCTGTGAGGGAATGTGCAGTGTGCTTTCCCAATTTATCACCTGGAGGGAAGAAAGGTATTAAACAACTTCTAATCCTGGGAACAGAATCTTTCCGACTGTCAACATTAACTGTACAGAAGTACACACGTACGTAACTAGTCAACTCACAGTCTGTATAGTTATTTTAGAGGTCCAAGAACCCGACTGCATCAGCTGTTAATTATTACTTTAATGAATCAAGAAACATTGTCAGATAGTAGATAAAAGGAGCAATTCCATTAAAAAAATTAAAAAGGCAAATTCCTGAATGCTCCCATAGTCCAATTTGAGAACATATTCAGTTTACCCAGGACTTCAAGGAATGACTTCATCTCCAAAATGTAAACTAATAAAAGCAGTCATGAGATACATACTTTCTAATAAAGAAATACTCACTGCATGACTTTGAAACACTGACATTGCCAACTGTAATTATCACTGGTATATCAGCTTACTCAAATCTGATAGGCACTCTAAGGAATTCAGATGGATGAACTTGTGCTGAGAAGACTCATAAAACCAATAACTACCTATGCAGTCGGACAAGTCAGTTCTAGTCTGATATTCACCGATTGGGAAAGGATTTGTCCTTGCATAGAACTATTTAAAAATCAGGCTTTTGTAATCACTGCTCCTTTCTCTAGTAAAACAAGAGAGGATAGGTTCGTGCATGGAGGAGAAGGGAAGGGAAAAGGTTAAAATTCTGCTACCACAGATTGGAATTTTGCTTCAACTTACCTTCAGTTGGGTTTCTGTAGGTGTAGGAGCCAGAAAAGGAGGCTGGCCCACTAACATCTCAAAGAGGATCACACCAACACTCCACCAGTCACAGAGCTGAGTGTATCCTGAAAGGCAAGTCAAAAGATTGTCCTCCACCAACCAAAGAGAAAGTGTGTAGAGCTACTGGCAATTAAGTATCAAAACATACAGCACAGATTTATTTTCTCAGACAAACAATTTGTGACACAAAACCAAAGGACTCCCAATCCATCTTCATCACAAAGTCGCTCTGCTTGCTGACCTGAATTCTGCTGCTGTCACTAAAGATCTAATGCTGTTGTCTGGAAATTTTCCTGAATAAATTTAATTCTCAACAGAAGTGAGTGGTGAACTCGTATAATTAGAAAGAATGAAGTATTTTTTTCCATGCCTTGTCCCACAACTACATCATTACACAGCTCAAACTGGACCTCAAAGAATATCAAAAAGGCTTTGTGACTGACATCCCCCAGGTTCAGTGGAGGTGACACCACAAGTTCGAAAAGCTGCCGAAAGACACAGTCTGGCTCTAGATACAGAAGAAAGCCACAGATGACTTTTTGGGCAAGTTCCCATCAGAGGAACAATTACAATCACTTAATTGTCATGATAAGGTATACATTTGAGATGTCTGAAAAAGGAATGGAGGATGTAAACACCGATTTCAATGCCATCGGGTGACGTAGAGTCCAATGTGAAATCTCTCAGCTTGAAAAAGATCAGGCTTAGGATCTGACTTGCAGGCAACTTTGAACATCTAGAGCACAAGTCTTATGAGGAGCAGCTGAAAGGACTGGGGTTGTTTAGCCTGGAGAAAAGGAGGTTGAGGGGAGACTTCATCACTTTCTACCTGAAAGGAGGGTGTAGAGAGATGGGGGTTGGTCTGTTCAAACAAGTAACAAGCGACAGGAGGAGAAGAAATTGCCTCAAGTTTCTCCAAGGGAAGTTTAGATTGGGTATTAGGAAGACTTTCTTTCCTGAAAGGGTTCTCAGACACTGGAAGGGGTTGCCCAGGGCAGTGGTGGAGTCCCCATCCCTGGAGATATTTAAGAGTCATGTAGACATAGTGCTCAGGGACATGGTTTAGTCAGGGACTTGTCAGTGTTGGGTTAATGATTGGACTTGATGATCTTAAAGGTCTTTTCCAATCTAGGCGATTCTGTGATTCTGTGATCTAATTTCCTTACTACAGTGACCATGTCTGTTCTACATGGACAGCCACCAAGTACTGTCTAAATTCCTCAAACCGAGCTTTTGAATGCAGGGTGTCCAGTGTAAATTGGGGAAGACTTTTTGTTGGGTATCCCCAAGATTGTGGCTGGGAATCTGGAGAACATGTTTCCACAAGTTTACATCATCCATATTTAAGTGGCCCATCTGAATCAATGATTCAGAACCACCAGATGGCTCCTCACTGGTCTATGTAAACTTGCTAGCGGTCATAGTTGTACTCCATGAGTACAAATAATCTGCTTCATACTTGAAAAATACCACTGCCGACATCATCTGACACAGTGATTAGCAGTCTCATTCAAAGGCCTCAGAGTGTAGGCATACACAGACACACAAAGTATAATGACCATCAGTGTGATACTAAACAGTGGAGCATGTAAAGAAATCTGTGCTCCTTAATCTGTGCTCAGTGTTTGTGGCCTCCAGAATGACAATCTTCCACAGCAGCAACCTTATGTAAGGGGAAAGAAAAAAAAAAAACAAGTGTATTTCAAAGCACTGATGTTCACTTACACAGGAGAAAATTACAGGTTATCTACCTTTACGAAGCAGGACTTCAGGAGCAATGTAATTAGGAGTTCCAACTAAGGAGTGGGCTAGACATCTCTGATGCTGCTTCTTAGCTCTTTGTTCCAATGTCTTCAGCCTATCTCCACATCTACAGTTGGACACATCATCCCAAAGATCACTGGGCTCCATGCTGTCTTGTCTGATATGGCTCCCTTTCAAATGGGAGAGAAAGTTTACATTCACGGTCATAAAACACAACACACAAAGAGAAAAGTATTTATCTAGAGCTACCTGTGCCATCTTCTACTCTCATTGAAGAACAGCATTTAAACTTTAAACCCAAGGTATTTCCTTCTGCCCTCCTCTTCACAATTGGTTTTCCATAACGAGCAAAATATCTGTGCCTCAGCGCAAGGAAGCTGCTCCCACATGGGAGATACAGAACAATGGAATATATTTAGATTAGCCACACCAATTGTTTATGACCTTTTTGTCAACAGACACCAATACCCCTCAATGGCACACACAGGAGGTGCATTTAAATCTGTGATTAAACTACTTCACCACCAAAAGAGACCCTCTGAACATGTATAAACTGAAAAACTGCTGCTACTGCAGTGGTCAGCCAGATTACTGATAGAGATTTAAACAGTATTGGAAACAAAGGACCGGAAAAAAAATTTAATTGAATGAGTTAGTGAGACACAAATGCATCACACTGTTATTGACCCTTTGTCAGTGTACACACACTGTTATTGACCCTTTGTCAGTGTACACACCTCTGTTTTCTGAGCTGGCATTTCTGCCAAGAGGTCCCTGTTTGCTTCAAAATAAATAATGCAACACCATCACAAATAAAGCCTAAGAACACTACCTTTCTGATAGTATTTTGAATTGTGAGTCCACCTGAATCCAGTACACAGCCCGAAGTCAGTTAGTTTGATATGCCCATCAAGGTCTATCAGAATGTTGTCAGGCTTGATGTCTCGATGAATAAATCCCATTTTGTGCACACTCTCTATAGCCAAAGTGAGCTCTGCAATATAAAATCTCGCCAGACGCTCTGGAAAGACCTCCATTCGAATCAGTAGACTCATCATATCCCCACCAGGGATGTAGTCCATCACAAAGTACAAGTTTTCTTTATCTTGGAAGGAATAATAGAGTTTAACCACCCACTCATTGTCTGCCTCAGCAAGTATGTCCCTCTCTGCTTTGACGTGAGCCACCTGGTTCCTGTTCAGCACATCTTTCTTCCGCAGAGTCTTCATGGCATACAGGGCATGAGTATCCACTTTGCAGGCCAGGCACACTTCTCCAAACGCACCGATACCCAGAGTCTTGATTTTCACAAACATAGATTTGTCCATTTTAGCCCTCTTAAGTCTGTTGTAGTTGGACTCCTTCTGGTAGAGGATTTTCCTCATTTGCTCCTGTTCTGCTTCACAAAGGCCAGCCTTTACAAAGGAAAGCAAACCACAAGAGCTAGTACTGTTACATTCATAGCAAGAGAACAATAAACTAGCATTCCCAAAACGCATTTCCCAGAAAAATTAACCAAGAACCAGAAAAGACGTATTCACGAGAGATACACTCTCTTGTCTGTCTGTTGAAGTATTTCTGAAATACCAGTAAATTCACTGTGCCTAAACTTGTCACCTGAATTTGCCGTATCTGAGATAGGTCTGCCTTTCTCATTTGACTGAACGAAGAGTTTGTAGATCTCCTGACCAGCTATTCTATTAATTTTTCCCTTTTCCCTCACAAAATCTGTGCATATAACTCTCAGCTCTGGCCTCCCCCCAGCCGCTGCAGCCCAGACTCTGGTGCTATTTCTCCTCTACATGTATTATTTCCTGTCTGCACCTAAGCTGTAAAAAAGCTGGCTTGTCCACCCTGTCCCCAGATAGCCTCCAAGTAACTGCAAGTAACATTTCACATGGCTGTGGGGAGAGACCTCCTGAGAAAGGCAGAAGCAGCAATACCCAACCAGACTTTTCTTACTCTTCAAGACAGAGCCTGCATGACGCCAACTCTGCCAGCTTCTGTGCCTGTCCCCCTCCTGAGAGCCACTGGTGGCCTCCACCAGCAGAAACCCCGGGGCTGATCCCCAGGACAACTCATCCTCTGATAACATCCTCTGCAGCCTGCCCCCCTTTTTTCTTTCTACATACCCCATTTCCACAATCCATAATTAAGTGGCATCAACTGAAACACTCAGAGGAAGATTAATGCCTGGTAGGAAGGGGCAATGTGGAGGAGGGAGTTGAAGCTGACTGATTAGCAGGCTAGACACCCAAGCACACACCCACAGGGCCACTGCTTAGATTGATTTAATTTCATAACTGTAGTCTGTATCTTTAAAGATGAATGTGGGCAGCCAGACTATGCAGTGAGATCCCCATGGTATAAAAATGAAATCTGTATGAATAAAGGATGGAGGAGGTCTGCAGAAACTTGCAGAACAGGTAGGATGAATTTTCAGACTGAAGGCAACAGCCAAATGAAACCAAGCAATACTGTTTTTAAAACATAAGACAAGTATATCAATCCATAATAGAGGAAATGTCTGTTGTTTTAAGGTAAAATAATCAGTGCGTTGTGTTCTTGGTTAATTTGAGAATAGTGTGATATTCAGATAGCCAATCGTGTATTTTAGTGTAAATAAATTTCATAGTGTAAATTCCAGGTTGCCAGGGGAAGGAGTTGTTTTTGTTTATAGCTGAATTATCTCTGAGTTATGAAGTGAGGGAAAGCTGAAGAGTCAGAAGAGAAGAACAAACTAATGCAATTAGCTGCTGTTTTACTTCTCTAAAGATCAGTCTCGGGAAAATATTCACTAAATCCAAGCAATGTAACACCATCTGTACTTGCAGTGAGGACAAAATACTAACTCACTAAAATATCGACCTTTCAAGAGATTTTAGAAGCATATTTGTTTAATTTTAATCTCAACCACTGAACCACTGAGTTTTCTGGAGCAATGTGAGCATCAGACTAATTGACTTTGGAAATTGACTGTGCTTGGGAAGATGGGGTAGTTAATTATTATCCATTATGCATAATAATAGCTTTCCTTAGCATTTATCCTTAAATACAAAAGTAGACTAGTCATATTCTAGTCATGCCTGGGAAAAAAACCTCTTCCACATTTAAAAATTAAAAACAAAACTTGTCAGCTTTGTTTTAAGCAGCCCTATCAGTGAATCAGGTTAGGTTTGACAGCTACAGTTAGGCATGAAAGAAGCTCGCGCTCAAAAGTGCACCTCCCTGAGACATGCTTCTAGAATAAGTTCCAGCAAGGATCCCAGCATCAGTTCAAGCTGGGCAAGATATGATGACTTCCATGATACTATTACTTATGTGTTCAGCAGACAACTTCCAGTCAAATATTACATATTCATCTGAAAATATGGCCCAGTGAATATACTGCCAAGCTGAACCATGGCTTTGGTGAATTAGTGGCTATCATGGGACAGGGAGGGAGAATTGGAGCAAAGAGAAAACATTTTACAGAGTTTTGCAGGAGGTGCCCAAGTATTGCCAGTGTTATCTCGGTATCAAACCTGGCTTCTGAGTTCTTGCCTAGGCAAACCTAATACTTTCCTACTATGAGCAGTTTTGCTTCATTTTACTGGTATGCAGATATATTATTTAGCATCTCAGGTTTTTCAAGCAGCCTCCCAGACCTGCATCCAGGCTTCTAAAGGAAAACAGCCTGGTATAGGGAGGTGTTGGATACCGACTACTTCCAATGGAGTCTGCCTTTACAAATTTTTTGACTGACTGAAAATAGTAATAATCAAATTGACCCCTTTTATTATAACAAAACAAGGACAATTACTTTAGCCATTTCTTGCTCCAATTGCAATCTTCTGTTAATTTTTTGCTGGTAGGTCTTTATGACATTTTCTACATGTTGTTCCATGTAGAACTTGAAGGCAAAAGGTGAGTAGCTCTTTATTCGGGATTCTCTCTTTTCTTCATCTTTGCCACTTTTTCGCACAGGCACCGGAGACGTCTGAATCTGCTTTTTATCCTTGCTTGGTTTTTCAGCTTTAGTGTTCTTGCTGCTTTTGTCATTTCGCTCGCTGTTCTCCTCAGCCTTACTGCATGTCGAACTGGGGACTACACGGAGGGTCTGCTCTACACCCATGCATAAGCAGTTGATATCAAACTGCTCAGAGCTACCAGGAAGCAACAAATGCTTGGGATACGGTGGTGGTGGACACCGCAGCTCCTGGTTACCGTAATCCACATCTAGTTGATAGGCATTAGTTGCTCCAACAGGTGGCACATGCTGCTCAATCATCTCCAAGCCATCCACAGCCGGTGCCTGTGCAGGTAACCAGCCAGGATGGGAAGGTCCCACTGCAGTCTGAGGCTCAGGTCTCATCACTCGCATGCTCTTCACTGGCTGGAGAATATGAGCAGATGTGACTGCTGTGATTGTATTTGGAGACGTAATTGAAGGATCAGGTTTTCCTGGAGGAACCTGTCTTATAGACACTGTCACTTGTGGCTGTTGCTGGTGGTTGTTGAAGGAGTTTGTTCTGCTCGGCACTGTGGCATCAGGTCTGAAGGATACATGTTGCCGTGGAGATGTTTCTATTCCTGGATTTTGTAAGGAATCTCGGCGTGAGGGTGTTGCCGCCTGCCACTGCTGAACTTGAGGATTATTCAGGTCATAGAGGTCCATGTTTAGGCTATTTCTAGACGGAGTTAATAGATTTTGTGGAGGACTGTCAGAAAAATCATTAGCAAAGGCTGGACCTCTGGATATCACATGCATTTGATGAGAAGAAGGACTCGTCTGTTTGTGATGAGAATGTGACATATACAGGCTTGCCGGTGCCTGCTGAAATGCATGACCAGAATTATTCTGAACAACTGCCCCTTTATTTGGGAGACTGGTGTATCCTCCCTCCTGCTGCATCTTGTTTTGGAAGGATGGACTTCGCTGAACACCATAACCCATGGGTTCCCCCTGCACCATGATGTGCGGCCTACTGTAATGTTGGCTGTTGGAGCCATGGGACGCCTGCAGCTGCAAAGCTTGACTGCTGTGATTAGCCACTGGGTAATTAATCACAGAAGACTCAATATTTGCAGGGTATGTTTTCTGCTGATGACTTGTTGGTGTGCTGTGAGTGCCTACCCCAGAGGGTCGCTGTACAGGAGCATTCATAGCTGTAGATGGTGAAGTAGAGATTAAATAGTCCATGTATGGCCTTGGAACTTCAGTAAGCATATTTGCACCTTCTGCTCCAAAGCCTGTCCCTTCATAGGCTGCGTTACTGATCTGATGGTAGGATGGAAAAGATTCGTTTGATCCTTCGAAGCTTGGCCTGCGGGTTACATTATTTGGCACAATACCCTTTCCTTTATAAAAAAAACACAGAAGAATGTTAGGGAACAATTCAGGTGAACCAATTACTTTGCATTACTCATCCATCTATACATACAGACATATACACACAGGCACGCACCCTGCGTGGGGAGTATGTGTTATAAAAACACCTTCCAAAATCTAAATTAAGCACTCTGAACACTTAAAGTTATAGGTGCCAAGTATTACTACTGATAACGAGCTACTGGCCCACAACACTGCTCATGCCAGGAATCATCAGGGAGTTCTACCAAATCATGAAAATAGAAGCACAAATTCCTCAACTATGAAATCATCAGATTACACTGCAGCCTGGTTTTTAAAGCTGGACCAGTATTACCAGTCATCACTCACAGACAGGAGGAAGCTACAGAGCAGGGGGTTAAGTACAGCACCAACGGGAGAAAAAAAGCTCCCGGAACGACTGTCAATACAACTTAAAGTCAACGTTACTATAGGCTACTAGGTCATCACACAGTCCACATCTTCTGTACCGTGAGCTCACTGCTCACGCTGGGGATCTGTTTACATCTCTCTGTTCCATCGTTCTCCTCAAAAAACCCTTGTTTCCCTCCCCTTCATTTGCATCAAAGGCATCACACAGTTTGTCCTGTACTCTTTCCAATGCGTCGGACACAGAGTATCCACTCACATTACTCATCTTCCATCTGTCTGGAAGGCAAATCTTTCAGGGTGTCAACATGTTAAGCTTAGCTGGAAGAATGTGCAGAGACAAGACAGCAGC